GATGCAGTTGTCACAATACACCTTTAAAAATTATTTTAACTATTCTCAGTCAGCAGAACATGGATTATACCCAGGAAATCTGAATGCCAGTTTAAACAAACTTTAAAAATTGGATATCTCTTAACAGTTCAAAACTAAAAAGCAATGGATTATTTATATAATCACTTCCTCTACTAGTACGACAGAAAACCATAATTAGCACTATAAAGCCAAATTACTTTTATTTTATTTTATTTATATATTTTTTGAGACAGGGTCTCACTCTGTCACCCAGGCCGGAGTGCAGTGGCAAATGATGGCTTACTGCAGTCTTAACTTCCCCAGGCTCAAGTGATCCTCCCACCTCAGCCTCCCAAGTAGCTGGGGCCCCAGGCATGTGCCATCACACCTGAGTAATTCTTGTATTATTAGTACAGATGAGATTTTGCCATGTTGTCCAGACTGATCTCAAACTCCTGAGCTCAAGCAATCCACCTTTCTTGTCCTCCAAAGATGCCAGGATTACAGGCGTGAGCCACTGGACCTGGCCGATATCCTTCTATCTGTATAGATTAACATATGTTTCATTTATTCGTCCATATTTGTATTTCCACATAATCCTTCGTCCTCAAAATATGCAGATAAATTATCATGATGCCAGAATAATTCTGGGCAGCATATCTAAGGACAGCAGGTTATTCTGTCACCTCTTTTCTGTGTCGCTCCTCATAAGCCATTGAGGGAAATAGCAAATCACAGAATTAAATTGGTATAGCTATTGTATCAGCTAACGTTGCTGCATCTACTTATAAAGCAGGGCTCCTAAATACTTAGGTTAGCATAGAATCCTTGATATGGTTAGGCTTTGTGTCCCCACCCAAATTTAATTTTGAATTGTAATCCCCAGATGTTGCGGGAGAAACTTGGCGGAAGGTGACTGGATAATTGGGGTGATTTCCCCCACGCTATTCTTGTGACAGTGAGTAAGTTTCCATGAGATCTGGTGGTTTCACAAGTGTTTGGCAAGTTCTTCCTTCGCTCGCTCTCTCTAGTCTGCTGCCATGTAAGACATGCGCGCTTCCCCTTCTCCATGATGGTAAGTTTCCTGAGGCTTCATCAGCTATGTGGAGCTATGAGTCAATTATACCTCTTTTCTTTATAAATGACCCAGTCTAAGGTAGTTTTTTTTTTTTTTTTTTTTTTAAGGGAGTCTCGCTCTGTCGCCCAGGATGGAGTGCAGTGGCGCGATCTCGGCGCACTCTAAGACAGTTCTTAACAGCAGTGTGAAAATGGACTAATATAATCCTCATATTAACATAGTCTATCCAAAATTTGAGCATAATTTGCTAGCCAATAGCAAACATTATGAATGCATAGTAACAGAAAAACAATGGCAACAAACTAGCTAGTCCTTTCTCCCTGCACTCATGCAGCTGACTCCAGCAATAGTATCTTGAATGAGAAAGGGTTTGGGGGAGGAAAGGGAAGGGGGAAGGGGAGAAGCAGCACATCACAATAATATATCAAAATTGTTAATAGTGTTTAGATAAGGTATAAGGATATACTTTTAAATCAGTATTTGAACAATTGCTTAGCTTTTCAGGCCCTATCTATCTCAACAATTTTCTGCTTAAAGTATATGGAAATAATACTCCGCCAAGATGATGCAAATGCAAATGTGGATTTGCAATACCAAACAAACATCTACCAAATTTTACAATATTCTCGGTCATAAAGTAAACCTCAAATGATTACATTTGCCTCTCCATGAGTCCATCTCAACATTCACCCATTCTTCTGCTCTATCAATCTATCCATTTATCTTCTACAATTTCTCTGTCAATTCATTTGTCTGTATAACATCCTATTTACAGTTTATCTCAAGAAAGTTTTCCTTGTGGGAATATTGAGGTTCATTTTTCTTAGTGTCTGATTGATTCAATACATTCTTGTTATGTGCCTATTCTGTGCCAGAAATTGTACGAAGCACAATAATATAGAGCTGGGTGGAAAGCTATCTTGGGCAGTTTCAGCCGATGGCACCTAGTTTAATTTAAAAAACTGATGTAAAAAGAATTTTAATTATAATGTTAATAATTAGTACCAAGAAATAAATCTCAATTTTTCTTCTTGGTCAAATTTGCATTATGAAATGATCCCTCTGGCAACTATAAGAAGAATGAATTGGAAGATGCAGAAGTGGGTATTACAAAGTCTGGCATAGAAGGTTCCTGTTATCTTGATACCCTTCTTTCACCCGCCCTCATTACCGGGATGCAGATGTGAGGGCAAAGGTGGTTCTGATCTATTATTACTCAGCAGCGGGACTGATGCCTTTGAGCATATTTTCTTATCTGTTGCCTAGATTCCAGTTTCATTTGCTATCTTAAAGGTTTATTTATTTATTTGTCTCTTTCTTCTAATACTGTAAGCTCTGTATAGCATAGTGCAAAATACACGAAAAACAATAGTTGTTGACTAAATAGATAAATGAATGAATGTTGTTTGCCTAATAGATCACATCTTCTGGACCTCACTTCTCCTGAAACTCAATGCACATTTTGGACACTGATTTTGTCCACCAGGTTGCTCTTACTAGGGTGAGGTTTGGTCACAAAATTAGTTTTCATCTGTTCCATAAACTAGTCTAGCGTCCTCATTCTCATTCAGTCCCTGCCTTCTACCTTCTCTGATTTGAGGTGCCAGTATTATTTGTGCTTACAATACCTGAGTGCAAACAATTTTTGATAAGCATTATAAAACTGGACTTAACACCGCCATTATATAATAGTCTATATTTCTATAAAAAATCATTGTGCTATAATAAAATGTGATCTATCCATCTCTCTACAAAACATAGCATTGTACACTATTCTTGCTATTTCTAATGATGTTGGCCTATGATTATGTACTAAAAAACATTTTTACATTCTATGTGCAAAGTGATTTCACAGAGGCACAGTTGCATATCTTGATTTATTGAGGAGTTACATGTGAAATCATCAGCATAGAAAATATGTTATAAAAAGTGCAAAAGTGCTATTAATCTGATGGGTAGTATGAGCTAGGATAAGAATCATGATAATGCTGTGTGCTTCTGCATTACTTAAGCTGCTCATATCCACTGCACTCCTATAACTCAAAATAGCCATGCTTATTTAAATCTAATTTTCCAACAAAAATATATTCCTAAACTGAATTATTTATGCCTCTGTTCACAAACAACATTTCAATACATTATACAGTCGGGTTGGATGAGAATATTGGGATGAAATATTTCATTAGCAGAATTTATATAAGATATTCAAGGTAAAAGTAGGAGGCTCATCATATTCATCTCTTCGTTTATGCAGGAATTTAGCAGAGAAAATGTAAGTGGATTAGTTGTCAGTCTATTAGCAGCATTTTAAAAAATAAATGATTGCACATTTGTGTGTATAAAAGTATAAACCTATTTATTAGGACACTGGCCACTGTCTTCATCGTAACACCTGTAGTTCCTGATTTCAGTGGACTAGAAAATATTAAAGTGAAAATGCAGTGAACTTAATGCCTTTCTCGATGGGTATACAGCCATAAAGCTACAGTCCATTTCACAGAGTAGCAATATTGGTAAACATTGTTTCTGCATTTTATCTAATTTGAACACAGCCTGCTTACCAAAAACCATCTCTTGCCAACGGACTTATCCTCAGTAAAAATAATTACACATCCTTAGAAAAAATTGTCATAAGTGGGAAAGAATATCCTTTTTCGATTATCTATACCACTTACAGGCATCAGGATACAGGCTGTGTTTTCCTAATATAAAAAGGAAAATGTTTCTGCTCTCGGAGCTATCCACCAAACATCTCACTTTTCTCCCAGATACAAGTTGGGGTATTGGTCTCACACTCCCATGAAGTTTTCTGTGGCCATGTTATTGGTTTGTCATTGTAGTACAAACAAAAGAGAATTCTATTACTTGCAGGTGAAATCTTTAAGGACCAGTGAACAATTTACTACTCTCTGGCTTTTTCCTTTTGACATAGAGACCAGCAATGACCAATATTCTAGGTTATGTGTCAGTCTGAGTACCAGAGTGGTAATATCATGGATATGTAGCATGAATGAGGAAAAAAAGCATCATGGTATTAAACCACTGAGAGTTTTAAAGTTATTTGTTACAGTAGAGTTACTTATCTTATACCAGTTGATAAACCAATTGACCTAAATATTCCTTATCCTCGTTTCTCCATGGATCACTATGGATCCTATGTAATAGGAAATATTACCATGCATCTTACTAAGGATTGTTCAGTCCTTACTGCATACCATATAATACTTCTAAGCAACGCACAGCCAAAAGAGAACTCAGTGATAGCTGTGCCAGAAGTCTCTGCATTGTATTCCTACCTGAAGCCAAGGTGTTATCCCACTCTAGCTTCTGTGCACCTGGTCAATTTTAGAAAAAGTTATAAGAGAACCTATGTTTCCTTCATATACCAAGATTATTAAAAATATAGCTCCAATCAGTCTGTCTTATGTTAAAAAGGATTTGTCATAAAATAAGAACTTAATAATTCACCTTTGAGAGTTTGAAAGGGTAGTAAAACAAACTTGAACAGAAGAATAGAACACAGAAGCAAAATATCCAATATTTTTAAAAGCATTAACAAATATTCACATTTCATAAATCACTCAAAACTTCTTTTTAATGTATGTTTTGAAAGTATATCAAGAAGAAATTTAAAGATTATTTAAGGACTTGCGAAAAAACATTGTGGAAATTTAAATAAATATTAGTTGAAGGGAGGAAGCCAGGAATACAAGAATAAGAAAATAAAAGAAAGTACGTGTGTGTGTGTGTGTGAGAGAGAGAGAGAGAGAAAGAGAGAGAGAGAGAGAAAGGAGTTAAAAAATGTATCTCTAGGTGTTGAATTTAACTTTCCTAAATAATGCAATTTTTCCAAACACTTGAATCAGGCATCAATGTGATTTGCACTGTCTCTTTCACTATAAAAGTGTCCTTGGGGTCTCACCTTTCTACATAATCCAGTAGCCGGGAACAGTGATTTGAAGCAGGAGCATCATGACCTCCTACTGCATAAAGAAAACCGTCACATGTGGCCACTCCGACACCCCCTCTCCTCTTACACATGGGAGCACACATGTTCCACTTATTTGTATGAGGATCATAATATTCCATTGAACTCAAACAGGAACTTCCATCACGACCTCCAACTGAATACAGCCTAAAACACAATTGGAAAAACGTGATTTAATATCATAGTCTGGATGACAAAATAGAGAAAATAAAAGGTCTTTTAAAATAAATGTTCATAGTATGAGACTCGAATGTGTTGGAAATACATTACTTTGCAGGGAGATTTTGTTAAAGATACCCAATAAATGATCATATATACTAGAAATTTCTATTTTTGTATAGAAATTGAAGTATACTAGATGAAATTAAAATAACTATAATTTTAACCTCTATTTCTAGAAAGTTGGATAGATTTAAATTGCATACTGCAGAAATAAGTAATATTAGTATATTAGTTTAATAAATATTAAGAAATGGCTATTAAAATACAGAATAAAATGTAAGACAATGAACATAAACAGGAGAAAGGCATTATCCTACTTGTTGATAAGCAAGTGATTTGGCAGTATGTAACACATGCCTGCGCCTTGTTTTCCAACCTCACAGTTTAGAACAATGAATAAATGTAATAAACTAAAAGTATTATCTTACCAACAACTTTCTTAATCAGTGACTATACTAGAGCTAAAGACAAGACTTTACAGGAAAAAGAATGCAACAATGTTAGTATGATTGAAATTGCTGAAGGTTACTTGATGCACTTATCTTGCTACAATTATTTTATTAATAAGAAGTATGATAGAAAACACCCCAAAATAAGTTATACATCATAAATGGTACTAACATAATTTGAATGCATTGTCTAATCCTAATAAAATAGTTCTTCCCCATTTAATCATAGTCATTATTTTATCACAGTAAGGTACCGTGTTGCATTTATTTACTTATCCATTTGCTCACTACCTATTTTTGAATGTTTAGTGTGTGCCACACATTGTTAAAACTTTTATTGATATGTCCATGAACAAAACAGGAAAAAAAAAATCCATGCACTCAATTGTACGGAAGCAGGGATAGACATAATATACAAAGTAAACATAAATATCATTTACTACTGGGGAAGGTGCAAAGTGCAATGGACATAGAGTCCAGAAGCAGGATCAGTAATGCAACTGGTGAGGGTGGAGATTGTGAATACAATTTAAATAAGTAACCAGAAAAGTTCTCACTGAAACCTTTTGCAAAAACTTGGAAGATAGTGGTAGTGATTGAAGGTGACTTCAGGAATATGTGGGGAAGGAAGTTTTAAGGATGACTAAATAGTGAGTGAAAAATTTCAGAAACAGGAAGGAAGCCAGAGTGGCTGGGACAGAGACTGATATGAGAGTGGTAGTTCAGGGTGAATGGCAGCTTACAAGCTGCATGTAGACTTTTCTCCTGAGTACAACAGGAAGCCATTGTGGTTTTTGAATAGAGGGAGGATATGATTTGTTTGTGTTTTAATGAGATTAGATGTGTGAAAGGAAAATAAATCCTGGGACTCTCAAATCACTAAAGCCAAAGGGAAAACTCAAGCTTGGAACTGCTTAGCACAAACCTGCCTCCCATTCTATTCCTAGAAAAGATAGCTACTAAGATTAAAAAAAAAAAAAAGCTCTGTACCTTCCTCACAAGAAATTTCCTTGTGGACAAAGGGCAGACATAATTCAAAGCCATCCCTCTGCTCACAGAGATAAGTGAATATCTGAGTGTCTCCTTTGGAAAGGCTAGTCAGAAAATCAAAAGGATGGAACTACTTGTCTCTTACCTACCTATGACCTGGAAGCCCCTCCCCCACATTTCGATTTGTCCCACTTTTCTGGATGGAACACATATTGATCGATTGATGCTCTTATCTCCCTAAAATGTATAAAATCAAGCTGTGCCCCAACCACCTGTGGCACAGGTTGTCAGGTCTCCCGAAGCTGTGTAATGGCCACGAGCCCTTAACTTTGGCAAAATAAACTTCCTAAATGGACTGAGACCTGTCTCAGATATTTGGGGTTTGCAGATGAAGTGTTTTCTTTACTATGGACAATATATCCAATATAATATGTTTATAAGTAGACTTAAATCTATAATACTCAATTTCTAAATAAATGCATAGGAAGGCAGTATTACTTAGCATATAAATCAATCGAGAAGTAGATTTAAAAATTCCTGCTCTAATACTATATAATAACTCTAAAATATGATATGCAAAATTATTTTAAATCCTAGGAATTTTTTTTAAAGCTGTTTGTGTTTTTCATAATGACTGCCATAGTAAAATATATCTGATTGCCCAAGTGTTCCCTTTATGTGTGTAATACCTCTTTGCTTGATTACTCACAAGTAGTCTGCTAGCTCTCAATCTTGTAGTATGCTAAAATTAACCAATAGGAACATTAAAAAAAAAAAAAAGCAAGTATTGAACAATTTAGCTTGCAAAAACACCCAAAAGTGAAATAATTATTCACTTATAAGTTTTTAATCATCCTAAACACCTTATGAAATCTGAACCTCACTTATTTCTGTTTCATTTAAATTGATGATTTAACACAAAAGAAGTATGGAGTAACCCTAAGATATTAAAATATAACTAAATGTATTTTGCGAGGACTTCACTTATGGGCATCTTTCTGTGAGATACCTAGCATAGCCCTCTTATATAGTTCATAAATAAACACGATATGAACTTCTTATATTCTATTGTTTTAAAGGAAATGTTTACTTCAAGCTGCTTTATTTATTCATAAACATTACTCTGATAAATTATACTATTGAGTCATTTGAACCAAATGTTGATAATAATGAAATAGTTCTAGGCCATAATAGATCACAGTTTTCTGTTTCTGAAATTGTTTCAAAAATTATGTAAATATATACCTGAATTTACATTAAAAAGTAGTGATGACATACAAACCATCGAGACTAAATCATGAAGAAATATGAACTCTGAACAGACCTATATCTGTCTAATCTAGTATCAAACTACATATAGGTCTGTTCAGATTTTGGATATTGAATCAGTAATCAAACTTCCCAACAAAGAAAAGTCCAGGAGCAGACAGATATGTGAAAAAATTCTCCACAGCACTAACCATCACAGAAATACAAATCAAAACCACAATGAGATATCACCTCACTCTAGTGGGAACAGCTATTATCAAAAAAACAAAAAAGTAATAAATGCTGATGAGGATGTGAAAAAGGGGAAACTCTTATACATTGTTTATGGCAATGTAAATTAGTAAAACCATTACAAAAAAGAGTATGGTAATCCCTCAAAAAATTACAAGTAGATTCACCATACGATCCAGAAATCTCATTACTTGGTATATATTCAAAGGAAATGAAACCAGTATATAAAAGAGACAGCTGCACTTCCATGTTTATTGCAGCACTATTCACAATAGCCAAATTATAGAATCAACTAAATGCTCAACAATGGATAAATGGATAATGGAAATGTGCTCCATTTGTTGGAACACAATGGAATACTATTCAGCCATAAAAAGAATAAAATCCTATTATTTTCAATAACATGGATGAGCCTGAAGGACATTACATTAAGCAAAATAAGCCAGGCACCAAAAGACAAATACCACATTATCTCACTCACATGTGTACTCTAAAAAAAAAAAAATGTCTCATAGAATTTGAGAGTAAAATGGTGGTTATCAGAGACTGGAGACAACAAGTGGGGAGGGGTAGATGGAGAGAGGTTGGTCAAAGGGTACAATTTTGCAGTTAGGAGAAATAACTTGATATTCTATTGCACATTAGAGTGACCACAACTAACAATAATGCACTGCATAGTTTGAATAGCTAGAAGAGAGGATTCAAATGTTCTCACAACAAAGTAATAATAAATGTTTAAGGTGATGAATATACTAATTACCTAATTTGTTCATTGCACAATATATACAAGCATCAAAACATAGCATTATAATCCATGAATATGTATAATTATTATGTGTCAAAAACAAAAACAGAAAGTAAGCCCAGGATCAAATGACTTTACTGGCACATTCTCGCTGAGCAGTTCGAATATATGCTATAATATACATACATGTCTTCATGAACAATTATCAGGTCAAACACATTGGTTCACACTTACAATCCCAGCACTTTGGGAGGCCAAGGTGGAAGGATGACTTTAACCCAGAAGTTCAAGACCAGCCTGAGTAACGTGGCGAAACCCCATCTCTAAAAAAGTTACAAAAATTAGCTGGGCATGTTAGCACATGCCTGTAGTCCCAGCTACTCAGAGGCTGAGGCAGGAGGAACACTTGAACCCTTTGAGCTTGAATCCAGCTCAAAGCTACAGTGAGCTGGAATCATGTCACTGCACTCCAGCATGGGCGACCGAGCAAGGCCCTGTCTCAAAACACAAAAACAAAAACAATCATCAAAGGTAATCTTCTTAGATCTCCCCCTCACCATCTATTTACTCATAGTTTAGACTGATTCCTTGCTTCTTTCATTGAAATGACAAATTAGATGCTGAGAATTTGAAGAGCAGAGAAGAATCTGATGACGGAAGTCAATGCGCTGGCAGCACAGAAAGTGACAGCTGACAGTTTCGCAGCCAGAAAGGCAATGTGACATTTCCACTTTGAGTTGAAAGATGGGTAAAAATTTGTAAGATGAAAAAACAGGGGGAAGCTTTACGTACAAGGAAAGCATTACATGTAAAGACCAGGGGCATGAAAGGTCATAGCAGTTGATAAATAAAGAGTGACAGGTACGTCATATTGATGGAAGGGATGGCAGTAAAGGAGGGGATGAAAGATATGTAGCTTGTAGGATGAGAAGGTTAGATTGAGAATGAAGGGAGTTGCATGATATGCTATGAAGTTAAGGCTTCATTACAAGGCAGTGAGTTAAGGACAGAAAAATAACATTCTTCAAAACCATCAGCTTCATAGTTCCATTGCTGTAAATATTGACCAGTATATCCTTACGTGCCAGGATTTGACAGGAGATCCAGAAATATTTTTGACTAAGTGCACTCTTCTAGGTTCTTGCTGAAAATTGCAAGAATCTGAGACTTCCCTGCTATTTCGCCTATTTATGTGTTTACTGGCATACAGATAAGTTTTAACTAATGTTCAGCCACAGGTT